TAGAGTTACCTGTATTCATAGTACACCGCCAGGAGTGTCGACCTACGTTAATAAATGTTTTATTGCTAAACCGGCATTTATTTGTAATTAACACTGAAAATACCATTAATTAGAAAAACCAAAATAAAATATAAAATGATAAAAATTTTAATATTTAAAACTATCGCCATATTTCTTGAAATTTTGCGAATATATTGAACCAATTTTAAAACCAATTAATCGATACGAAAAAACTTGAATTATGTATAAAAACAGTGAGCTGAACAAAAGTTGGCCAACTCTCTTGCCGTCAACATACATAATATAATATTACATAATAATATTACATATATAATATTATTTATAATAATAATAAATACTCAATAACAATTATGTATAATAATATTAATTATAATAATAATAATAATTACTCAATAACAATTATATATAATAATATTAATTATAATAATAATAATTACTCAATAACAATTATATATAATAATAATTATAATAATAATTACTCAATAACAATAATATATGTGAACATATTTTATTTATCCAATCGACACAATGAAACTATAAGATATTAAGATAATAAATTGTAACTAAAATGTTAAATTGAATAAAATAAAATAATCAATAGAATAAAAATAATCAAATGTACGATCCACCCATCCTCATTGCCAATGGCAAGTGCACAGGGGCGGATCTAGGTAATTGGTTTTGGGGGGGCAAGCGATGGGCAAGGGGTAGGGCATGGGGGGGCCAGACATGCTGGAGTGTTTTGTGTTTAAAAGTACACAACAAACAAATTAAAACATATTCAAAAAGATTTAATATATATATATATATATATATATATATATATATATATATATATATATATATATTCTTATGTAATGCAATTATTAAAAATTAAAGTTTATTTAGGTATTATTTCTTTCTTAAGCACTACTAAGGTGCAGCGAATAACTTAATTAATGTTATTTCACTCATCCTTTGGTGCAATATTAATTGCCTGTTTCATTTGTTTTCAAATCTGATTATCTAAATGACGAATTATCGGTTCCGATTTTGGTGATTCATAGCACACATATTGGTAGGAGCTTGGATAAACCTGTCATTATCCAGTCCCACATTTCAAGGCATACCCAGGATGTAATGCCATATACCTGGACAAACATGCTTGGACAAATAAATGCCTCTAAAGTCTAAACGTTGATGATGATATGATGATGATTTAGGTATATCTTTGTTTTTACATATACAAGTTTATTGAAATGAACTAGAAGAATTGTAATAAAAACCTTTTCGAATAGACACATATTTAAATGTATTAATGTTTTATTTAAAAAATGTCTGCAATTTATTATTATCAAAAACAAAAAGATGTTTATGGGCCCGCATCAGTAAAACATTGTCCTTTTCACATTAATCCAAAAAAAAATTAAAAAAAAATACTAAAAGGTATTCATATATATACAATACATGTATTATATCTCATATGCACATTAATAAGTCCAACTTCATATACACATACATACACAGACATACATACCTTATTACAAATAAAACCAATTTTAAAAAACATTTAGAAAAAAATATTATAATAAAGTCATTTTTCTGTTTTTATGACTAGTAGCAAAAACATCAATAATTTCCGTTTCATGCAATGATAATGTTCTTTCTTTTTCAATTGCAAGAATTGATACACTGCTTAATCTACTGTCATGCATAGAGTTTCTTATGTATGTTTTAATTTGTCTCAATGCAGAAAAACTCCTCTCACATGCTGCTGTACTGACAGGAAGCGAAACGGCAATTTTACATAATCGATAAAACTCATGAAACGCTTGTTTGAATGGTTTTAAAAACATCAGTAGTCCTAGTAATGTTGTTGGCTTTGTATCATCCTGAGCGCGCCCGATTAGACGTTTTACCTGATGCAGCTCATGCTCTAAGTCTTCCACATTTGCATTATAAATCACCGCTAATGGTTTAACAAGAGTTATATCTGCAAAACTGTTGGACGACGGACTGAGTGCTTGCAAGCTTTTCATGACGCTACGCTGCTGCTCGCCAAAACGACGGTCAAACTCGGCAATGAGTTTATCCAAAACTGGATAAAAAACTTGCTGTTTAAATGTATTTTTGTTATTAATTCGTGATCTTTCTCCAATCGTTTCTAGAATTATAGTATCTTCTAAACTTTGAGGAAGACACCGTGATCTTTGTGGAGTTCTAGCAGGTACTAAACATTCTTTGTTAGCATTAAACAACGATACTGCATTTTTCCACATTAATTCAAACTGCTTTTCATTTGTTCTCATATCACTGAAATCTTCCCGTACAGACTCAATCAAATCACAAGCTTTTAACAAGTCGATATGAGTAGATTGCAACATAATAGATAATGACTGAGTTCGACCGAAAATATCACACATTAGCGCTAGTATGTCAATAAACTGACTATCGATGTGAATCAAAAGAGAACGCGCATCTAATGCACGATTTGCATTTTGGCCATCTGACAATTCACGCAGGAGCTGTATAATGGCAGTTAAATGATTTTTTACAACTTTGCATGCATAATATCTACACGCCCATCGTGTGTCACTTAACTTGTGTAATTCTCTTGGTGGCTTTCCTTTATATAAACTTTTCTGAACGTTAATCCATCTTTCATGGACAAATGAGCCAGATAAAAAAACATAAAGCTTTTCCAACAAGGCAAAAAATTCATCCACAACTTGCACACTTTTAACCACATCTACTAGGACTAGATTAAGCCGATGAGCATGGCAATGAATGTATAATGCCTGTTTTGCTTGATGAGTAATTAGAGTAGCAACTCCTTTGTGTTTGCCGCTCATGACAGACGCTCCGTCATATCCTTGACCAATCAGGTTTGATTGATAATCGAGGCTAAATTTTTTCAGTTCATCAATTATAAGATTACTCAAACCATCAGCAGTTAGATCATGAGCAGGCACAAATCCAATAAATGCTTCGCATACGGCGTCACGTACAAAATATCGTATTACTAGGCTAACCTGTTCTGTTTTTCGACAGTCTTTCGTTTCATCTACCATTATTGCAAATTGAACACTCTCTTTGACTTCATTGATGATTTGTTGCTGAACCATTGCTGCCATGCAATGAAGTATTTCATTCTGGATCGTCTTGCTTGTGTATTTTGCATTTCCCGGCAATGAAGTTATTTTTTTACCTATTTCAGAGTCATACTTGCCAACCAAATTTATTAAATCGAGAAAATTTCCTCTGTTCATACTGCTACTGCTTTCGTCATGTCCTCTTTGGGCTATTTTGTGCACAGCAGTGTACTTGAGTACATCAATAACAGCTGCAATATAATGGCGATTAGCTTTTATTTGTTTCTCTCTTTTGTCTGATAACATATCCAGAATAGCTTGTTGTGGTTTTTTATTTTTGTATTCAATCCAAGTCTGATATGCTGCCATATGCGCATTTGAACGTATATGCGAAATGAATCCTCCATCAGAATATGTTGCTTTTTTCCAATTAGAGAAACCACTGCGTGTGAAAGTATTATCTGGCAAATTTCCAGGCATAGGAAAATGTCGACAAGCATAACAGAATGCTGCATCTATCGTTTGAGAATACTCTAGCCAATCATAAGTGGCATACCATTTCTGTGAAATGAACGCA